AGCTGGACAAGAATTCATCGTTAGTTCAAGTAGTTTAAAACAAGAAACAAAATAGAAAATATTAATTTTCTTGTAATTAAAAGTGAAAACAAAAAATATCTTATTAAACCAAATGACATCTAAATTTCACTTTATAGTTATAAGTGCATACCAAATTAAAGCATCTATAATATGAAACAATCAGTAAATCAGGAAAAAAAAACAAGAAATAAAGATTTATTCCTGAAAGCCAGACAACAATTCATCCATAATTAAAGTACTTTATAAGACCATCCTATTTAACAATCGTACAGCCTGGAAGATAAACATTTATTCACCTAAACAATGTATTTGTGAAACTGTCCTGAACATAATGCTCAAGCGAAGGAGTACACACAACTATATCAGCATAGCAAACAAAGCACATGAAACAGTTTTGTGTGAAACTACACTCTTGCCTAAGAGATAACAGAGTATGAAGTGACAATTTAAGGCATAAGAAAACAGCTCACAATAAATCGGATTGCAAAGCAGGAACATTGCGAATAAGTAAGGTAAAAACCGTAACCAGTCCAAAAGCTCCAGCAGCAAACCACTCAGGTACGGCTGCCATTTTAAGTAACACCAGAAGTACAAATCATGAGCTTTACAAAAAGGAATTTTTCATCCACAATGTTGCAGGAGCTAAACAAGTACCAGTTGTCTCTGGTTGTAAGGTTGTTCTTGGAACCACAACAGCCACTGGCTTATCATCCTCCGGATTTACTAGAAGGAAAAGCTTGTATTCATCTCCAAATTTATCCTACAATAATAATCATGCTAAATATAGTTCAGACACTGACTTAAACTGGAATTGCTAACAACAACACTTTAGCAAAGAAACAGAAAACATGACATACTTTCAGTCTCTTAGATATTTTATCATAACTTTTAGCAGCTTGTCCTCGCAAGTTTCCTTTGAATAACACTCCACCCTGGCATAAAAGAAGGACCCAATCTTCATACAAGACCTCTTCACATATGCAAAAACACATATATAGGAAAGATAATCTCACACCTCGTAAGGATCTTGGCTTGTTACAAAAAAAGTATCGAAACCAAAAACTTGGTTCTTAAGAATTTCGATTACTTCCTTGGGAATTTTTATTGCTTCATCCAGTTTCTGAGGCTGTTTAGAATACATAAAGAACAGAAACACGGAAAAATTAAAAAATGAGAATGCCTCTTCTAAAGGGGAAATACTCAACAAAATGTAATCACCTTCACACCTGGCAGAGGTGATCCACTGGCAACTTCATCGCTATCCATATTCTGTTTTAATCAAAAGCCCAGAAAATGAGAGATAAGAAAAATTATCACATAATGTTCCTAACTCCAAATGACAAACTCAAACTAAAATTAAGTCCATTAAGGAATCATAGTTATGGTTTAGGGTTTAAAGTTTACAATTGATACAACAATTGATAACATTTATTAAGGAGATTACAGCTGCATACAACAATTGATACAATCAGACTGGCAAAACTAGGTCCCATTTTAAGGATATAGTTTTGACAAATTGTAGAGACTCGGACTTATCAAGGACACATGATCATAACTTAAAAAAAAGTTCTTTAACAAATTATAAGTAAATAAGAAATGAAATCAATTTGCATAAGATAAATTCTTGAGTGCATTATGTCTGTGAGTAACAACCCTTATATATGTGTGCGTGTGTTTGAGAGAGATAGAGAGGGGAGATCAACTTACTCCAATAGATTTCCTCTCCATCCTTACCATTCATTTTTTTGGTAATCTAAGTTAAGATGATTTACCACTGTAGACCATTATATTATCGATAAATGAATGGTAAGGATAAAGAATAACGCTCTAATTCTTACTCTTGGGGTGAATGGATATCTTATGTGTGTATATTATGTATAATATTGAACAAACTTTGGCAACATCGGTATATGATCAAATATATAATGGAAGTTAACTAAGCCAAAAATCACCTGCACATCATCATTTTGATCCTTATTTTCATCACTAAACTCATTTAGCTGTTCTCCATCTACAGGTGGAGTAATACTTTGCTCAGAGGAATCTTCCAAAGGTAGTGTTTCTCCATTTTTATCTGCTTCTTTCTCCTAGGTAAATAAAAAATCGTACTTTGTCAGGTGAAAAGTATGAAGAGAAATGTAAGGTCTACATTGTGATTGAGTGCAAACAATAAAAGGAAAAAAAAAAAAAGAATATTTATTTTTGTTCTTATAACTAAAGCATAACCTATTAATATTATGTTGAATTTAATTTGTTCATACATCCACATTCCAACTGACAAATTTTGCCTGTTTGACCCCCTCTTTATATCTATTGCAACATATAAGTTGTTTTTAATTGAAGGCGAGAAATTTTGTTCATAGAAATTGATTTCTGGTTAGAACCCCTCAATACCTAGAAGCCAAACAGAACCCTGACTAATCTGAATCCATCCGTGTGGATGCCTAACACATTTTTATTTTTAATTTACAAGACTCAACATATTATCTTATCTGAAGAAAACCTAGCGCTTTAGCCCTTGGACCAAAGGCATTCATTCTTGATTTCAATTTTATCCCTGTATCTTAGTAATTTTATAAATTGAAATGAGAGCATTAATGGAACGTAAGGGTAGTTTAATTCATACTCATACTTCTCCTTTACAATCACCCAACATTAGGGAGTTGAGACCTCAAACTAGCCAAGTGCTACAAGCGTCAACAAACGAATTGTATCACAAAATTATAATCAAAATTCCAACTCTCATCAAATTATACTAAAAAGCGGAAAGTCTATAGGAAGCCTTTGTCTAAGTTGATAAAGACAAGTAAACGTTCACGAGTGTCATCAGAACAACGACTAATAAATTAAATCACAAACACTACTTAATACTTCTTACTATTTTCTAAGGTAACTAGAAGTATCAACCATATTATATATACTTAAGCATTGACTTATAATCATTCCTTAGCAGACCCTGAAGATAAACCATGCAAGGAATTTCTAACAATTATGCAAAGTTCAATTGAATTCAAGTCAAAAGTCTTCATCATATCATACTTCAAAATCTGAAGCTAAATGTCAGTTAAAAAGCAGAGACAGGTAGGAACTGAAGCACCTTCGCGTCGCTACCGTTATGTGGCTCAGTAACACTACAAGCAATCCCTCTCCTCCGGCTCGATCTATTGCAGTTGATAACCGCAACAGCATTTGAAGCCAAATCAGTAACAATCGGAAAACGGAATGATTTCCGCTAAAAAAAAATCGTACCTACCTTGGGTTACGAAACACCTTGAACGAAGTAAAACGACAACGCGAATGAGGAAAACCGTGGGAGTTGTGTGAGCGGAGATCAAATTCGAAGCACGAGGTGCAACACGACAGAGGAAGGAGGAGATTCCGGCGAAAAGCTGAAGGAGCTGCTAGCGACAGATTCATGGTTCCGTTTGGAGCGAACGGTGCCTCTAAATTTGATGAAACCCTGGCGCCATTGAACAAATTAAGGATTGATGAAATCGGTGGAGAAGATGAAGCAGTGGCAGCAAAGCAAAATCAATTATCCGATATTTTTTTTTTTCTTAAATACCCGCGCAATGATATTTTCTCTGCAGTCTCTGGGACGAATATGAAGCGGGGAAGTTCTGAAGGCCAATCAGGTCTTGACACTTAAGCGGATTAAACGACTAGATAGAATCCTTTGGATTTTTATTTTTTTTTTTCATTATTGAATTAAAGTTTTTTTTGGAGTTTGCAACGTGGAATATAGACACCACACGTATTTGTCTACGAATTTTTGGTCAAATACAACCCCAATAAACATGATTATTCTGATAGCCATTTTTTAGTGAGAAACAACAACCAACTACAATAGAAGGGAAGCCTTAAAAACACTCTAGAATAGAAAATTTAGTTTTTCAAAGGCTACATAATTTTCATTTCAAATAAGTTTTTATATATTATTATTAAAGTACAAATTTATTTTTTTATGTCATGATAAAATACTTGCTACATAATATTTTGATAATAATATATACATGAATCTATTTCAAATTAAAGAGAATATCAAAAGTGAAAAATACTTTAATAATTATTTTTTATTTATTGATATTTAAGAAAAAAATGTAAACTTTAAAGCAAAAAAAAAAATACAACCAAAATACTATTTGAACAAATTTATATCTTTCATTTTCATATAAATAATAATAACAATAAGAAAAACTTATCACTTACTAATTATAAATTAACAATAATTATGTTACACCTAAAAAAGTTAATGATAAGTTATTCTTTTCTTTTAATTTACTAGTAACCCAATTTTTATTTGTTTTTTGGCAATTGCGACCAATTTTATAACCCTTCAAAAAAATATGTTACAAATCAAAGAATAACACACCACACAACTTAAATGATTGATTAATTATAATAATCAACATAATTTACTATGACTGTATAATTTGTATATCATAAATGAAAAATATCAGTAACATTTCATATTAATATAAAAGAAAATTTCAAAATTTTCATCACTTTGATATTATTATCTAATTTTTAAAATAAATCAAGATTAATAATATTATAATCTTCCTTAAAACTTAAAAAAAAATTGCAATTAATATAATTATTTTAGAAGATAATCATGAGATTAGACGTTCAAAACATATAGATCACTAAAATTGTCTTTACCTCTTGACAAAATATGGAGATTAAAGTTTTGCCAGTATGCTTAAAAATCTCAACTATCTATCAACTACGGTGTTGAATTTTTCTTATTATAATTTATATTAACATAAAAAGTTTCTAACTCATTTACCCAAGACAACCAAAAATGGCAAATTTTAACTAGTAGTCAGGGAACTATTTAATTGCACTTTCGTTTAGGATCTCAGGTTAATATTGGACAATCTAACAAAAATAAATCAATTACATCTTCAATGTCTAATGAACAAAAGGTTAATACTTATGTTATGACCCTAGCTTACTTACAATGGCCAAGAAGAGATTCATTCACGTGGCTTTTCATCCCATCTATTCTTGCGCCTTCTACTACTGCCACCTTGAGGAGCTTCATACTGCCCAATCATTTTCTCAATTTGTTCAGATAATTGTGGAATTGGAAACTGGACATATTCCTTATCCTCATCACTACCATTACAAATCCATCCATAGTAACCTTCACGCCTGTGGTTTGAAAGAGGATTAAATGCTTTTGAAGATTGAATCATAGGAGCCTTGTCAGAACAAGTACTCTTAACTTTGTTGACAATGGTGCTATCATTGTTTCCTTTGACATTAACTGCAGCGTTTTGTTCATTTGTTGACTTGTTCATGCCTTGTTCAGGTCTTCCTCCAGCAGCTTGCAAGGCCACATCCCCAACATCTAGAGAGAAACTGACAGAGATTTAGCATAAGCATAAGAAAAGTCAGAGTAAGTTTTTCTTTACTCTTCTGGGAAATTAGACATTTTTTTTCAAAGGTGATGCAGTTAAGCAGAAAAATAAGTTACAAAAGTAACTTCAACTTGTATATTTAGTTCAGTTTAATGAATTGAATACCAGTTAATAAGTCTAGTGAAGAAAGATTTATGGATGTCATCCAAAGGGATATTATACCAATTACCAACCTTGATATAGGAATTGAAGTTCAGAAATCTATAACTCTTGATGCCATCGAGTTGTGCAAACATATTTCAAATGGAAGTAATTGAGAGGATGGAATAAAATTACCAGTTTCTAGATTGCCAGATGATGCATTGCCTTGATCACTGGCTTGAGTAGAAGAGTCCAAACCATCACTAGTTTGCAATTCACTGTCTTCAGATACCAGTCCAGAAGAGCCAACATCAGGAATCACAGCTGATGGTGTCACATTATTAACACCATCCTATGTAACATTCAAGAGAAATCTTGCATCATATTCATTCAACTGAAATCGTTCACAATATTCATTTAACTCCAGTCAGTAGATGCTGAATGTTTACCTTATCTTTTCCTTCGGAAGCTTCTTCTTGTTTGCTAAGTAAGGTCTCGATTAGGAGCTTGTAACAGGCCTCTTCAATAAAGGGCCACCCTTGAGTTCCACCATACACCTGAAGAAGCACCCAATCCCACAGGTTAAAAGAAAACCAAAACTATAAAAAAGGACATTTAGCACTGTTTTTCCTTTTAATCTTCACAGAAGAGAAAACCAACATCGAGAAGCTCGTGAACCGTTTCTCGAGTCAGTCTTATCCCAAATCCAAATTGACGCATTGCATCCAGGGCAGCATCCATGCGCGTGATTCCCGTCGACTTCTGCAGTCAAAAGAAAATATCACTAAGGGAGGGAACACTCGCAAACGCGTTACAACAAGAAAAAAGAAAACTTGGTAAACATAACCAGAAAGAAATACAAAAGCATTAGCAGATAAGATAAAGGAGATGGGAGAAGAAAGATGAGAGGATGAGGAATTGGGGAGAATGAGCAAGAAAGCATGAAATTAAGGACCTTTCTGGGTTCTCGTGCTCTAGAAGACATTTTCAAGCCTTCGTCACAGAAAAAAATAAAAATAAAAACTTTCTTTCCTTCTAATTGAGTTGGTGTGGAAATGAACACCATGTAAAGATGGAAGCTGAAATGTGTATAACTCGTGTTCAGTATTCTCTGCCAGCTTCACTTTCCTCTTCCTGTTGATCCACAATGAGACATATTTCTACACAACAAAAGGTTTAAGTCTAATATTACAACTTAGATGTACACTGCTAACAAAGGCGAAGAAAAAAAAAATATATCTTTCATTTATTACATTTTTACTTTAATTGGTAGGAGAATAAATAGAAGATGAATGAAGAGAGTAAAAAAGAGTTTATTGGTCCAAAAACAATAAAAAAGGAAAATAAAGATGTTTGTTAGAGGAGGAGTATAAAAATAATTTTAAATATATGATTTAAGAATTATATTATTAATTAATGTTATTATTATTATTTATTTATTTATTATATAAAGATGTATGAGTTAAAAATGAGATGTGTTAATGCATGATATTTATAAAAATAAGGTTGTACAATGGATTTCATGCTAATATAATTAATTATGAGTGACATTTTCTTCTTTTACTGGTACAATTTTTTTATGATTGCATTTTTTTTAACTCTTTTCTATTCTTTCAAATTATTAAATAAATAAAAAACTAATATTAATTAGACAATTAAATAAATATGTAATAGTAAATAATAATACTCTCTAAATAACCTCTTATTCATCTAATATCTTAAAGAAGTTTAAACACTTATTAGGGCTTGTCCTTATATTTTTGTTTTATATTTCAATTTTATTAATTTACTTTTTCATCAAAAAAACATAATCAAATTCATTAAATAAAATTATATTAAAAAACGGGGTCGCATGAGTGGCTTAAATGGGATGCATGTCATACATTTCCTGTAGGGAATATTTCAATCCCTCATAACATGTTTTATCATATGGTGACATAGAAATAAGGGTTCTTATTTGCATGAATTTCTTAATTTTATTATATGAATTGAAGTTAATTTGCATTAGAATATTACTTTTTAATGTGTGAAGAAATGGTTAAAAAGTAAAGTATACTAGAGATAAAATTATTTTTAGCTTCATCTATAATGTAATTAAATTTATATTATGAATATGATTTTTACGTACTCTTTTAGTAAAAAATATATAAATATTTCTTATTTTTATTTACATATATTATAAAATTAGGAATATTTATAGAAATCTTATATTAAATTTATTTTATGATTTTTATAAAAAATGCAATTATTTTTTAAAGTTAAAATTAACTTATTATTAAAATAATTATTAAAATTGTCTTATATAAAAATTATTTTTTATATAAATTAAACTTATTATAATATATATATATATATATATATATATAATTTTATATTAATTTTAATTTATTTTACTAAATACCTAATATTAAATTATATCTTAAATTTAATTAAGATTTATTTTTATTTAATTTGCATTAAGATATTTTGATTATTTATTAATTTATTTTTTCTTAATATATAAAATTAATCTTATTAATTATAATTTTTTTATTTATTCAATATTTTTTCACGTTGTAAACAAATTTATTTTCGTTTTTACTGATCTCTCAATTTTTTTAATCTAATCAATGGCTTAATATAATAAAACATTATTATCAAATTTAAACTGATGTTGATTAATTTAATTATTACTTAATGAATAAATTAGTTAGGTTAATCTCATATGATCTAAATTAGAAAGAATATTTTTATTATTCTAAATTTTTTTGTGTGGTTTGTTTCACTTTTAACCTACCTATATGTTTCTTATGATGGTATGATTAGCAGCGTGAGCATGTGCATTGTTGAGTATGTATATATATTCACTGTATTTTGTTCCATTTACTATCAGAAAAGAATAAGAAGATCGATTACCTTTATAAATGTAAAAGATAAGTTTCAACCTAAAAGGAAAACACATGGACTTCCAAAATATCCCAGCTAGCTGGGAAATTATTCCTAGCTATTATTATGCATATAGGTTTCTACTCCAATCAATCTTCAAACATTCAATAATAAAAAATAGTATTATAAAATAATATAGTTTTTTTAATAATTATTTTATTTCTTTTTCTTTATTTTATTTCTTCATCTTAATCTTTTAATTAAAAATATTATATTAAAATTTGATAAAATAAATCTTTTATTATTTCTAAAAAAAATTATTCAAAAATACTATAGTTTAATATATTATATTGGCCGTTTTTATTTTTTCTTCATTTATGGTTTCAAATTTCAAAGTCATCTCGGGCTTCTTCCTTGGAATAAAAACCTTTATAATTAGACCAAAACTGGTCTTGTTTGGCCTCAGAGAGGTCTTTGTATGAAGTATAAACTCCTTTGTTTGACCCCGTAACTAGGGCATAATGTGTAAACCCCTTACCGGAAGGAGAAGTTGCGAAGTCAACCTGACTTCCTTGTTATCTGCATTGCGAAACCGTATAATGCGCTAATAATGCTTTGCTTCATTTTAGCGACTTGTTGCTCATTCCGAGTTGTGTATTTTGGAATATTCCAAATGTTGTCAATTAAAACATTTAATTTGACATTTGTAGATTCCCTACCAGGAAACCGATAGGAATTTGTAAGTATGGGTAACTCTTGTTTCCCATACTTCATGTATTTTTCCACCATAAATGCTATTATAATTATTAAAAATATACTTACTTCAAATTAATTTTTTAATAAATATTTTATTAAAATTATCTAATATATGATTAATAATCATAACTCAATTTAATTAAAAAGTATATTTAATTCATAAATATTTAATATTTTTTAATTGGATAAATAAGTGGTTTATTATTATAAAATTTTAAATTAATCATTTATTATTATCATAAATAAAATTATTTATTATCATAATAAATAAAAATATTTATTATTATCATACTTTTAAATATTTATTTAATATTTTTTACTTTTAATATTATTTTAAAGAAATTATTTTAATATACTTTTATTAAATAGTATAGTATTTTTAATTAGAAATATAAATGAAAGAAAAGAAAAAAAGATGAAAAAAAGAAAAACATAAAGTAAATGAAGAAAGAATTTAAAAAATTATATATAAATAATAATAATATATTTAAATAAATAAATTAATTAAAAAATGATTCAAATTTTTTTTTTTTCAATCTACCATTGACACTTAGTCCAACACAGAATGATAATAAAGAACATTACGGTATTACACAACAAATAAATTAAAAAACCAAGGAATTATTATGATTTTTTGACAGAATTTGACTGGTAATTTAAATGATCAAGAAAACTCTTCAGCACCTTATTTTCATTCACCCTGTAAATGTCTTCACCTCCCTCTTTTATTTTGTAATAATATTTTGAAATGTAGAATTTTATAATGAGAAGTAAGAAGTTGTATCCTCTTCGCACTTGTAGTTCAAAAATACATCACTAGGGCTTAGCCCAATCTTTGATAGTCCACGTCTTTGTGGCTTTAGACTTATTATTATTATTTGTGGTTAAATTTCTGATTTAAATATTAAAATATATTCAATTTGAACTATTATACGTTTTAAAATGTTAACAACCTACAAAACTATATCTTAATTTTAGTTTTTAATATAAGAAAATTATGTTTTTTACGCAATTGCATATATTTTTCAATTATTATAATGATTATTTTGATCAGTATAATAACCTATATTTTTTAAAACATTGTCTCCACATTTTTAGTTGCGTGTTTAAGCCACACTCTTTGGCATTGTCCCATGAATCCAACGTTAACCTCCGAAGCTCTTGCGCATAAAAACACAGAAAAGACACTGCAAAATTGTTTATATTTCCCCTCTTGGCTTAGACTTGTCTCACTGTAAAAGAAATATCCCAACTTAGCCATTGGAAAAATATGGTTGCTGCCACTCCTATGGCAACTTGGGTTAAAGTTCTGTTAATTCTTACTCCAACCCCTTCATGCTTCCTTGGTTCAGTGTCTTTAAAAGTGCACTTTTTTATCCTATTTTAATGTAATTTATTAGATTATACTAGTATAAAAAAATCATATACTCCTTCAATGATCATGTTATATGTTGAAAATTTTAATCATTCTAGTTTTGTAGCTGCACAGTGCACATATATTCGATTTGATGAGTATGAGCAGTTTTGATAATTCAATCCAATAATATGAGAAATAGAAACAATGGAAGCAAATTGAAAAATCATGTCATTGCCACACAGTTGGGGGAGAATTTTACTGTTCACCCCTCAATTGAAGGTTCACCTTAGGATTCTATATTTCTAAACAAGACTCTTGAGAATTGAAAAAAAGGTTGAACTAGTCGTGATAAGCAATGGCTGAGATTCAGGGAATATAGGTAAAGGTGAAAGGTACAAACACCAAACTCAAATAAGCCTTCACAAATTATTGCACGCCAAAACTCTCAAACTTTCCAAGTCATGCATACACCCCAGGATTCCCTTTTTTTGTGCTCATCAAATTCCAATTTTGACGAGTCAAACACACCATGGAACTGAACTTAGCCATCAAGAAAAATAATAGTAACAGCTTTAAGTGAAAGAAGGAATCAGTAATTAAATAGACATGAAAAAAGATGCTAGTCAAGAATTTCAGTTTAGCATATTAATCACGAGTAATACCGTTATAAGTAGGCTTGGAATGTGGGAAGCAACATACATGATCTAATAACACTTGTGATTTCAAGAAGAAAAAATGATTATATTGGAAAGCGAAGATATTATTGTAAACATGCAGGTTATACTTGAGGTTGCTATAATCCAATTTCCAAACAACAATCCCTATATAAGCTAAATATAGTTCATGATTACAATTCAGCAAAATGATTCAAAAGCGAAGAAATAGAACAATGTTGCCTTGTTACACAAGGGAACATCAGCATTAACAATATTTATACGGAGATTAAACCAAGAGATAGGGAAAATACACAAGGGGGAAGATGCTGATGTGTCCCTGTATGTATCATGCAAAAAACATGTAGTTTTCAGTGATGCAGTGTTTGGTTGGAACCTGCGGTTTTATGCGGGGGGCACTGGTAGCACTTGGCAAAGAGTCCAAATTTGTCAACCTGTTTGATGAAGTTTGCCATGCTAGCCCACCCTCCAAATCCAAATCCCACCACTAGAACCCACACCATCACAAATGCATTTATCACATACATTATAGTCCAGTTTGGGATGAACAAGGGCAATTTCTCAGCAGCGTTCTGAAAACATTGCACAAATAAATTGTTAAATGTTAACTGTGTCTGATTTCACATTTCAGATACAATTTCCTGACACTAATAGTTATTCAAGTTTCTCATGATTAATCTATTCTCAATGAAGCATAAGACAAAAAAGTAGTGTTACTGTTAGTTGACAGTAATAAGTTGCTGACTTATTTTGAGCATCTGTTAGGGACAGCAACGTGAATACCAGGTAGGGTCAGTTGAGAGCGTTAGGTTAGCCATGGCCCATCTCATTGCTAGCATGTGGACATTGGTTAGCATAGTATGGCTCTAGCATATAACTGAATGACAAAGAAATGAAACCAACCCCATCGTGTCCCATAAATTTTCAATTCGAATAATTAATAGAACAAGTAGGGTAGGGATCAATACTGCCAGTGACTTGGGAAAGTCTCTTCTTCCAAGTTCGATCATGGAGCAGAAATCACACTCAAACATTATTACACACATTTTTCAAGACCTGCTCAGAAAAATAATCAGTTCTAGATATTGAAAGCTTTCTTTTAAAAGGTTTAACCTTTTACTAGGGAAGAAAACACAATGGGTAGTTAAATGTTTTGTACTGTTATTATATATTAACTACAAGTTGTACGTAGAGTGTACAACTTAGCAGCCTATTAAAAATCCAGATTGACTAGTACGGGTCTAAACAGTGAATGTCATATGATATGACCACATTTTATGATTTTGTAGAAATTTATTATGTGCAAAGTAAAAGCCAGTTAGAAGAGACAGGGATCAGGTAGAAACAAACAAAGATGAGATATGAAAAGATTGGACTAATTACCTGTCGTGCAGAAGCAGACCTGTAAGTGAGCATATGAGCAGAAGCAGGGATGACATAGACGGTGAAGGTAACCAAAAGAGCCCCCACAGCAGAGTTAATAGGGCCAAAGAAGGGGAAAATAATAGCCAAAAACCATATTGGTATCACCACAGGCAACCTTGCAAGTGCCCTCAAACATATGCTCTTTGTGTCATGCATTCCTATCACTTTCTCCCACACAAAATACAATGGTGTGCAAGCAAATCCGAAAGTGATAAACTGCAATCCACATAGTAAGAAATAAAACTCATCAGTTTGTAAAACTTCTTTTATTTTTGCTCTCTCTCTCTCTCTCTCTCCTGCTGTTTACATTACACAAGTAATTTTTTCTTGATTAAATGAAGAAAAAAAATGTTATTTGTAAACACAGGTAATATTGTTATATATAAATGTTGCATGAATTAATAACACCAATCTTTTGAAAAGAATTTGGCTATCTTGAGGGAAGGGAAAAACTGTGCAAGGACCTGGTGAATCAACATTAAGATGACACCAGCATCACGCCAACCAGTGCGGGGGAGAAGAGAGAAGGCATTGGAGTGGTCCAGGAGTTGGTCACCAAAGGCCCAGTAAACCGCAATGGCAGATGGTAGGGTGAGTGTGAATACAAAAAGAGTGGCATAAAGATAGATATATTTGAACTTTTGAGGTTTCCACATTGCATGCATGATTTCCCTGTAATAGTCATAGGGTCCACGTTAGTGCATAATGTAACAACAACAACGTAAATCCAACTGCAAGCAAATGACCCAGATGCTCTCATCTCCATATCAAATAAATTCCTTCCATTTCCACTAATATGCTTCAAGTCGAAAACGAAATTCGGTTTGTCAGTCCTGGGATATGTCCAAATGAGTTATCAGAATTGTTTTCTAACCCACTTTGGACCCTTTTTTTTTTGTTTTTGGGTAAATACATTGCTAGCTTTACCCTCAAAAGGTTGAAATTATATCAGAGTACAGAAGAGAATATTAAGAAAAAAAAACATATAAAGAAATGTGCATTTCAGTACTAATCACTTGTTCTCATGGTCCCATTGCTCGAAATTCCTTTTGAATGATGGATAAAAATATTCATAAATGTGTAAATATTAAATATACATGATAACACAAAAATAAACATAATTCTTGTACTCATATTTTCAATGTTGGTAAAGTAAATACCCATTCCTTTTACATAGTACATGTCATGTGGTAAAAAGTCATTACTCGAGTTATTCATTGTACTCGGGTATTGGGGTTGTAGGAACGCAGAATATAAAGATAGATAGATCAATTCAATGGATAAAGTTGAGAGGGAGATGGAAATGGGGGCGAAGACAGCAGTGTAATGGTTGTTCAAAAGTGCCAGATTCAACGCTTTGTCTTATTTTCTAAGGTCCCATTAGAATGGAGGCAAAAGCTGCAATTGAAGAAAGTGGTCGTGCAATAAGCTTCTACTCTCCTTGATGTTTCATTATCTTAAGACAATAAAGAAAACTACCATCATTGTTTTGTCTAACACAACAAGCAAAATATTAAAAAAATGGGGTCTTACACTGTGACGGCGTGCCCGCCGAAAGTATAGAGAATGTTGGTGGCTCCCGTGAAATACAAAACCAATTTTTTGGGGCCCGTGTGAGTCACATTTTCAACCTGCAAAATTAAAGAGGGAGTGACAGTGTGTTTATTTTTTTACACCAAGTTATTATGATCAAACGACTTCTAACAAGAGAGACCCCACTGAAGAAATCGACAACGGTGTACTTGGTATTGCTTACCTGGCCATGAACGATGGCTGCAATGGTCAAGTACCAAGCTGTGTATGTGGTCATGCCAAGACCAAGGAAAGACCAAATCCTGTAGTTGTGAAATGAAGGTATGAACACTGTTGTGGCACAGCATGCTCCAAATATGTAAGTCCAGGTCCTCTTGTCCAAGTGGTCATTTATGTAGTATATGTTACTGCACAGTCAAACACCATACCCCAAATCACAAAACTCCCTCTTAAAAATCAACAAAATTTTCAATTATCTAAAAATCAGAACAACCAAGGTTTTGAAAAACAGTTTGATTGTGATTTTGGCCACAACTTCAGTTTTCTGTCAAAACAATTGTGGCCGTTTTAGTATTACCTTGACGAAAGGACATTCATACCTTGCACAAGCTATAAGCTGGATGACAGATCCAAAGAGAAGAAAAGTGCAATTGAAGGCCAAGCCAACGGCTTTCCAGTATGGACCTAGTAAACCTTCCAGCACTTCAAACCACTGCAAAAAATGAAATTAGGCCAAAGTTTTCCACTAAAAAAATAAATGAGTTTCTTTTTTATTTTCATTTAATTTCTGGTCTAACCTGAATGACATGGTTTTTGAAGTTGACGTTCTCTTTCTCTTTTCTGCTCCTGTACTCTATGTACAGAATGCTAATCAAATAAGCAGTCCAACTTCCCATTAATCCATAGAAGACTTGGAATATGATGCCAGAAAGCATTCCCAGCTGAGCGAAAGAGCATGGCAGTGTTAACAGAACCTGTGCAACCTGCAAACCACAAAATAAAAAACATAATCAAACCAAGTTCTCTTACAGAATCTCAGTTCCAATGATGAGAGCTACACTCTATGGACTCTTTTTTTTTCACCTGATTTGAGGCACAGCTGAACCATGCATCATAAACAGACCCACCATGCCACAGAAGGCTTCTCAAACTGGAATGTGAACCACCCACCTTCTCTTCCTCTCTCTCTTCACGCTCAATAGTTTCATTGAGGCTTGACATCATGGTTTCTTCACCTTGCTTCTGGGGTAACATTGTTCCAAGATTATTATAATATAGAGAAAGTCCTGAAAACAATCACATACACAGTGTACCAAACACTGAGTTAGCTAGACATTTACCAAACCCGGGGAAGAAAGTCAGAGAAAATTGGCAAGAGAAACAAAGGAGATTTTGCTCCATGAAAGAAACAAAACCATGTGGGAAAAAGAATAACAAAACTCACCTAATATTGGTCAATGTTGAAAGATGAGAGTGTTCTCTTATAGCACGGAAACAGAGGAAACAGGGAGGTTTTATAGTAATATAGATGAGTGTGTTTGTGTGTGTGTGAGTGGCAGGGAAGTTTAACTTTTTTAGGTAAAAAGAAAAGATGGTAACAGCACTTGATTGGGTTAGTGTTGCGCTGTTGCTGATAATTTCAGAGGATTTTGATTTTTTGAACTGTTTAAACTCTACACCAAAAGCTCCAATTGCAAGAGTGGCAGGCCTTAAATATGGCTTTATGCACTACCTGGTGCCGTTAAGGTGGTGACTGAGTCAACCTCTTAAATGCAGGTTCTGAACATGGAATTGGCAGAAGGTGGCAGTTTTCAATGCAGAAGATACTATTACTAACCCTGCAAGCAAGAAATTGAGACAACAAGGGAAAAAGGTCGTGCTGCAGTGGTAACAAACAAGTGATCAAGAATGAGTCGTTGGTGGTGTTGAGGGTTGAGTTTGGAGGATCGAGATCTGACAAAAAGGAAGTACAACTGAGAGAGTAAACTTGGAAGTTGGAGGTGTGCTTGCTTGGAACTCGATTAAAAGAAACAATAAAAAAATGAAAAGAGAGCAATGGGAAAGGAAAGGAAAGGAAGAACTGCTATGATAACTCCTTGGTTTATTCTTGAAAGTCACATAGATAGACGTTGATTTGGCTTGGTTTGGCTTCTCTTATAGTGTGCACTTTATCTCTCTCTTCTGTCTATGTTTCTCTTTGCCTGTAGAGTCTATTAAAATTGGTTGGTGCTTGGTGTCTGTGTACGAGGATCACTGTCTGTCTGTCATGGTTAAAAAGGAAATTATAACTCATTTAAATTTAAATGTTGATATTTTTCGTGTGTATGAATGCATGTAGATGTGAGAGATTTGAGTCTTTAGATTCAATGGATCGGAGAATTAAAATGAATCATGATTTTTTAGGCATAAATTGCACTGTATAATTTACAAACTAAAATTTTGAGACAAGAGCAAATGAACAATTTAAAAGGGGGTTTATTATACAAAGATTAATGTACCGAAATTAAAAAAAAATGGTTTTAGATGTAAAACAAATGAATAACCTTGAATAAAAAAGTCTAATTAAAGGAGAAGAAAACACAGCTGGAATTAAAAACAATATTATAAAAATTTAAATAGAAAATGACTGATAAGTGAATTAACTATTAAAGAAACATAATAATATAAAGTATATTTTTTTAATCCATGCAATTAAAAAGAAAAAAACAAAATTAAAATTTGAAACATAAGATAGATTAAGATAATGAAAACCAATTACTTAATTATAAAAGTTTCAGATTATTTTAAAAAAATTCAAAGTTTTTTTTTAAATAAGACTAATTTTAAAATACATTTCTCTTTTAATGACAAAACACTAATATTTAAATTTTCAAATATATATATATATATATATATATATATATATATATATATATAAAAGAAATGAGTGATAAGCGAATCAATTATTAAGGCAAAATAGTAATATATAGAAATTATTAGAAACTTTTTTTTTCATTGATGTATTTTAAAAGAAAGTTAAAAATCAAAAAGATAAGATAGCATTCCCGGAGTGAAAACATTAAATAAATACTATTTTAGGATAATAATATTTCCTGTCCTTGTTTAAACGTAATTAATAATCTATTTTATTCTTTAATTAATTATTAAAAATAAACACCATTTATTAACACTTTTTGTGAATGTCGTATATAAGTTTTATTTATTTATTTATATATTTTTACAACAGAAGGCCACGCATTCATGCACATGACAACGCACACGATAACATCCGAACAATGAACATGTTTCTTACAGTTGTCAAATTATTATTGGATAGGTTTGGTAGAAAGATATTTCCTCAATTTGATTGACTTGACTTACGCAATTTATGTTGTTTTTTTTTTAATCTGAAAAGTTAAAAATAAGTTAAAAATTATTTTTCTGAAATTTGCTTTCTGTATGTTTTGGCATTTTTGTTTAATTTTTCTTTATAACTTTAAAAAACTCAATTAGTATAATTCACCCATATTAAGCTTATTTTTCTCACAATTTAATTAAATACCATCCGAATTATAATTTTAATTTGCTTAATTATTTATCTGTTTTTGTGTCAATTAATGATAAATATAATAATAATATTTACTTTAAGTTTAAATATCAATATAACATTATTTTATTATATGTTTAAAGGAAAAAATTGTTCGATGTAAAAGAATACTTTTAAAAAATAAATAAAATCAATTTAAATTTTGAGAATTATAGTTTGCTATAGAAACTAATATATGTTAATAAAATTCCGATCTATATAGATCGGGATTAATTAAACCCTGGGAATTGAATCGAATTGAGATTTCTATGAACTCAAATTACTTCAATACTTAGTTATGACATTTTTCATAACCATGTGATAGCAATGAAATTAAACTTGATTTGATAAACACATATTGAGACCTTCATCATTCATGTTTACTTATGAAAAATAGCCTCATATATGGCAGTAGACACGGTATCAGAAATCTATTAGAATTTCTATTTTTCCAAACAAAAACATATTGGTTTCGATTTTTCCTTCAACAAATTTCATGATCTAATTTTTATTCAAGGATAAAAATCTAATCAAATTTTAAATAAAATACAAAATTATTAATATCTTTTAAATTTTTTAGATTAAATTTTTTAAAAGTGATCCATTTAATTGTTTTTTTGGTTTAATAATCTACTCAATTAAATCAAATTAAAATTATAATATATAAGTTAAAATTCAAATATAAAATAACATTTGATACGAGTAAGATAATTAATTTTTTATAACTTAAAACATATATTATTACTTTTTAAATTAAACGTGAAAACATATAAAAATAAATTAAAATTATAAATATTATTATAATTACGTGAGATATTTTTATAATAAATTTTTGTACTGAATTATTGTTTTATTATAATTAAATATTTTATAGTAATAAAACTAAATTAAAAACATACCGTAGACCCTCCTTCATAAGACCATTTGATACCATGGAAGTGGAGAACAAACAACATAGTATATCTAAGTTAAATTACAAAATAACATTTTTCGGTTATATGTTATTTTTAGGGTTTAAGTTATGAACAATATTTTGTGTTTATATTATTTGACATTTTAGGTGTGGGGGAATTTATTAAAAATATATATTGATCTTTATACCTTTGATTTGGACATGGAAAATATACATAAATAAGATTTTGATTTTTGTTTCCAAAATTATTATCACAAGATATTTTATTTACATTTTATAATATATGTATATATATATATATATATATATATATATATATATATATATATATATATATATATATATATATATATATATATATATATATAAACTAGGTAGTTAAACTTCCTAACTTGTGTTGTGTAAACCGTCAAATTCATGGTCAATGATCTATTTTTTTTTTAATATACAAATATTAAATGTTTAAAAAATAAAATATACGTTTATTGTTACTGTTAATTTACTTTAAAAAATAAATTTCTTTAATACTAATAGGAAATTTTACATTCAAATAAAATTTAAACAAAATTACCAGCTACTTTAATTACATTTTGACAATTTGGATTAATTTTATGAAATACAAATATTTAAACTTTTGTTTTTCTATCTATTGGCAAACTACAACCTTGTGTATATGTGACATTTGAATTTTCAATTTTGTTTTTTTAGTATCCAGTTGGGATTATTTATAATCATAAAATTAAATCACATAATCCACTTTTTCATAAAACTCTGTGGTGATGGATGGGTGGATCAAAATGTAAAGCCTGTTTAATTGCCTTTTTAAAAAAAAATCACTTCTTGAGACATTAATTTTTTTTTCAGTTATTATAATCATATAGTCTCGTTTTTCAAACCAATATGCGTTTATATATGTACGTAAAATCATTTATAGACAGTATAGAGAGAAGAACATAATCATAACAATATACAAAGTCTTGGTTAAGTTTAATTGTTTGTAGTCAAAATAAAGATGGAAGCATAATTGTAACTATATAATTATGATTCAAAAAATAGATACAGAACCTAAACAAATCACGATATATCCGGTTATTTTAATCAATAAATTTTAAAAACAAATAAACTTAAAGTGTATATTTAATTTATAATAAAAGGGTACATATTTATGTTTTAATTTTTGCAATAATTTATTCTAAATATTTTCATTTAAGAAACACGAAAAGAATTAGGCAAAACGGTACACATTTTGTATAAAAAAGAATTTAAAGAGAAAAAAGGTAAGGAACATTTAATAAATAAGTATAAGAATTACTTTTTCAGTTTGGATAAGAGATTTTAATGTATTAATGGAAGATTTCATTAAAATTGTATTGGATATTGAAGAGTTGGTAAGAGTAATTAAAACTGGTTCCAGGATTGTATTTACTAATGTTATCATATATACGAAATTTAAAGGATTTAAGATTTAATCGATGGTCTATTTAAAGAAATTTATTATTATTATTATTATTATTATTATTCTCTTCGTAAGATATATATTGTATATTATTTTATTAGGATTTTATGTAAAAAAAATCATATTTTAAGATGATATAAAACTAACCTTAAAAATATAAATTAAAAAAAATAATTATTTTTTACCATATCATAACAATTAAAAAATATTAACATACTAACTAAATCACTTATTATTATATTAATATTAGATTATTTATCCTCAATACACAGGAATATTTATTAAAAAGTTTGGTTGTGTTGTGAATGAAGTAAATTAAGATGGTGAGTGGTTGGAGGGACCATCCTCCCTGGTTCAATCGGTTTCTAACTTTTCCATAATATGCTCCTTGTCTCCCTTTTCCTCCTACTCTCGACTCATTATTTGCTTCAACGTGATTAATTTTCAAGGGTACCCCAACTTGATTTTTGAACAAAATTTAGCATTATCCTCTCATATTTTCTGTTCACCCTATCTCAGTGGAGGACAATTTGTTCCATTACTAAAGACTAAAAGAGAATCTTAGATCATGACCTAATCCTCCACTTAACTCACCCCTTCCCTTGTCTTTTTCCTACCCTGCCATATGCATCTTTTTCCATTTTATTTTCTGACTTCAATCACAATATATTTTTTAGTTTAACTTATTCATAATAAAAACATCTTAATACTCAATCTACCAAAGTTAAACTCAAAACAAAATTTACATAAATTCGATCTAATGATAAAGATTATATATGAAACAAGTGTAACATTCATCGTACACGGAATGTTAAAAAGAAAGTCTTGTATCTTTTTCTACCGTATTCTAATTTATGTTTCTTTGTTGGAAGATACGAAACTACCGTACTAGGAAAGAGTACGTATACCGTATAAGAGACGTTGAGGTGATCAATTATGAAAATCATATATAAGGTTCTGAAAATTGACGAGTTATTATGAGTGACAATAATGAAAGTATGTTAGGTAACAACGCATTAAAAAGAAGCTTCAACCTTATCTTTATTTTCCGTAAAGTTGTAAGCAAAAGACTAAAGGCTAAAGAGATGGACTAATCCACACCATAAGTACATCTATGTTTGGTAAACATTGCATCGATTCAAATCAACACGCAAGTTTACGGAGTGTTTAATTGTATCTTTTTGTGATTCTTTTTAGGGTTATTAGCACTTGTCCATGCAACGAGACAAGACAAGTCTTGAGCAACCACAAATAGCATGAGTGAACCACACTACGTTTCTAAGCTTATAATCAATACGACAAAATTTTTATACTTAGGGTGTTTGCATAGCCTGGTTAGTCACCCCTAACTAGAGGGGTAATGCAGGAAAATGATGATTGGAAGGAATTTTTGGGGTACCCACAAAGGGAAAAAAATTATGTTAATTGAAATACCAACCCAAAAGGAAAATATTGGATTTATTTGGCTTTTTCAGTTTTTCTTACCTTCAAAAGCCTCCTTTTCAATTTCTTCCCTTAAAAAACAATTATACGTGCAAGCTTCCTTTACTTTTTGGGGATAAACCTCCATTTTCTCTCGCTTTCCGTCTTCAGAATCGACTTTATTAAGATCAGAACACAAGGATCCTAGGACGGGTTTATGGTCTAAGTCCTCACAATTAAGTATAATTAAGAGCTCAATCATGAATTCATATAAATATGCCTCTGATTGTTAGACTTGAAATTTGTAGTGGGATAATGATGTATGTAGGACCAGAATTATAAATGAGCATGGAACTTTGTATCATGTGTATATGTCTTTCTCCAAAAGAAGAAGTTTTTAATCCTTATTTTGAATAGAGTTTTATTAACCAAATCATAGTTTGATATATTTAGATGGGATTCACGAGAATTGATAGAATATGACTTTAAAAAAATAGGATTCTAAGAAATTCAGTTATCAATCCACGTATGACGGGAGAGCACGATTAAGTTATAGATGTCTGTTGATGGATGTTGAGGAGAATGTTATTATATTTAAACATGAAAAATTGATCGAATGAAATAAATAAACTATAATCTGTCGTTTGAGAAACTTTAAATTTAAATGTTTCTATAAAAATTTTGAGTGTGGAATTTTTGTAATTAAAGAAAAGGAAGATGGTACTATGTATGCAGATTTTTTTATTTTTTCTTTTTATGTCATTCGATTTTTTTCTTCTAGGAACAGAGAAGGTGGAAATCTCTTTCATAATAATACATCATCTTTGTTGCAGCAGCATGGTTGTCGTGTAATCACTGCTTTACTGATTTGAATTTCCTGTTTCTTCTAACCCACTGATTTGAATTCGATGGGTCCTACGATGTGGGATCCAAATATTATGGGGTTTGGGCCCATTCATCATTTCTATAATTGGTTTGATTATTAGGAGTTGTTTGACGCATAAAAAAGGGAAAACGCACATGAGAGAGATAGAGATAAATGTCTTCTTCAATGCAGAGATGATAGAGGAGAATTACCAATCCAAAATAGTAAGAATCATTCTATATTTATTTGATACAAGAAAGGAAAAGTGTAAATGTTTGAAAGTGAAATGTATATTATCTACACAATTACACTGCACTCTACAAATTCCACTTACAGAACAAAATAGTGCTCAAACTAATTTGCTAAAATAGTATATGAACACATAAAGAATAAAGATCAAAACCCTTTGCTGTTATAACTTTTACCTCTTGTCCTATTCAATTAAACAAAAGTATCAGTTGGAATACTTTTTGGGTGTGCATATCTACATAGTTATATGTATGTGGCTGAACATGATATTGGAATAGAATTTTATAGGTAGGGTTAGTGGAACTCAATGCGCAACCATACGTTTAACTGAGCAGATTTGTGAATCGAAATGGTACAAACAGTATCACTCATTAATCGATAGATATAGGAGTTTTGTTTTCTATTAAACTAGAATGCCCAATCTCAAGGATAGATGAATTGTTTAAGGAGTTATTATTCCGACATCAGATTTTGCTGCCACTGTTATGGGGAATCTTAGCATTACCTGCATTGAAACTCAAGCGGTGAAGCAGATAACCTAATACACTATTGGAAGGAGAATAAGAATAATGTCCCTGTTTGCATGTTTGAAATATTGGTGTTCTTTTATGTTGCAGTACCAAACCAAACTATGATACTCTACAGCAGTTCAACACTTTAGTTTTTCACCACTTTGTCAACAATAAGTTACCAGTGAGTTTAAATTGCCTTTGGTTCCAATCAGGCAGTTTAATGCTTGCCGATTATGAAATTGATGACGGATTGATTATCATGTTAGGGAACAAATTCCTCGATTGTATCAATTTTAAGGATTCAGTTAAAAATTTAGTTAAAATATATTAACATTGTAAAGATTTGTACACTGCGATTCAATCTATATTAAATAAATTTGTTGACTTTTAAAATAGTTATTGATTGTGGTCATACGTTAAATTATTTCTGATTGATTGGTATTATAAATAAGTTACACTGATTATATTATACATGAAAATCAAATTATTAGATGTTAACGATAAAATCCACCTATTATGTCTATTATGAGCATCATGCGGTATTGTTATCTTCGGATCGGATCGGGTCGGGTGACGAGGTAAATTGATAAAATTGCTTCGGGTACAGTTTCACGTTTCTTAAGAAAATGATTGTCATAATCATTCATGAATACTACCAGGGTGAGTAACTTTTTACTTCCGTGATTAGGTCTAAACCATGAAGCAAAAACTAGTCTTTCTAATTGCTATACAGGGCAAAATCATCAAGCCATTTTTTTTTTCTTGGTGCGGCATTATTATTATTATTATTGTTGTTGTATGGTAGCACCAAAATCAAGGAACGTCAAATTTGACATGCATGTGAAACACAAAGTAGGCAAATTCCATCAAATAATGAAGAGTCATAACACAGCAAGTTCAGGGTCAATTCCCACTTGAAATCCCACCACAATCAGTTGTTTCATACTTTCACTCCATGCATGCTTCCCCAGCACTACAATTCCTATGAATTATGGCAACTTTTTTTCAACTTTGGCCACAATAATATGTGAGGATTGGCCTTTTATCTTCTTAGTTCATATTGCCATGTGTCTTCTACTCTGCTTTATAGTGGGGATCTCACAAGCATCACTTTCAAGCACTGCCCAAGGCTATGCCTCTCTAGGTTTTCAAGGAAGATTCCACTGAATTAGACTCTTAGGCCTAATTGATGGACATTCATCACCAGCTAGTAATCCTATCATTGGAACAAAGCCATGAATTTTTAGCCACTGCTTGTTGCCATCATGCCACTCAACTCAGGCTAGAATTGATTGAGGGGACAACAAAGAGTTGTGGAAAATCAAATCATTCTACAAAGTTCACATCTATCTTTGCTTCAATGACGTGAGTGAAAATTTAAGTACTAGTGGTAAATCAAAATTATAATAATCACTCTGATGTGAAGCTACTTGTTTCCTATTATTGACAGATAGAATAACTCAAAACACAAACTACGTTCAAATTGCCAAGGCTTTTATTTAACACCGAGACTAGCAACTTAGAAGGATTGAAGCAAATTTAACGAAAATAAAGTTTTTCAATGACCTCAAAGAAGATGAATCATATACTATTGCGTAAAATCTCTCATAAATTCTGGCCCAACTCACCTTGAAATATTGTTAGCTCCTTTGTTGTGAGTGTGTGACCCACGAGGGCCTAACTGCACCTTTTTTTTTTTCACCTGGAAATTCGATCAAACACTGCACTTTTTTTTCACCTGGAAATTAGACCATACACCTAAAGCACGCACGCACTTGTTGACTATTAAGAGATCACATCATCTATTATAGGTAGTTAAGCAAAGCATGTAGCGTCCTTGTCCTCAAGTAAATTAGTAAACTATGTGCAGCGCATAAAGTTGGAGGCAGAGGTGTACCAAAACTTTAAAGTTAGATGCATAAGGGACGAGAAAAAAAATAAAAATAGAGAAAGCGATGAAGAATATGAAGTTTTCTTGATGGGTATAATCAACATCAGTCCTTGCTCCACGGTAAACATTTTACTTGTACTTTTGGATCAATACTTTTATTATATGCACCTTTTAGTTTTTTTACTAACAAGTCCATAATAATATTAAAAGATTAGATTGAATAAAATAATATCAACGGTTTAATAGCAGTTCAATAGTGACCCTACATTTCCAGTATTATTCCATTACCACTACTTGTATATAGATTCATTCAACACGAAATAATAATACTCAGGCAACACGTTACACCTAATGTCAATTTAAGATATCATTATATGTCCAGAAATTTAGTCAACTTTATTAGATTTGAGGGAAAAAGCCATGTGAGTTGATGTGTATTGGAAATGCTTTATATAAGAAAATGAAAGTCTTGAAGCTTGTATACCTTGAACCTGTGCGTGGCCTTTTAAAGTGAAATGCGCTTGATATCGTACCAGATAATGATGGAACGTATCAAAGCAAAACGAAAACTTAAGAGCGGTCATGTACACGTGCTATCACCTTTAAGTCCCCTGTCGTGTACACGCTGATTTACTATTTCTGCATGTGACCAAAGTTTGGGAAGATTTTCCTATCTTTTTACCTCTACTATTCTGAGCGATGTGGAATATATAAAGAAATGAATTCAGATGCTACTAAGAGAGGGAGATTCTCGTGGTCTACCAACTCATTTCAACTTGGGCAAGGTCAGATTGACTTAAATATTTATTTAGCCTTCTGCATCCTTATTATTGCTCGAGGATGCTTGAGTGCGAATTAGTGACCCACTAAATTTTCTTTGAATATAAACAGTCAGAACTCAGGACCTCAATCTGGTTGCACTTTCAAATCCTTATTTTCTTTGTCTTTTTATAATGTATATCTTTGACCAAACTAGACAGGTGGCGGCAAGCAACAGAACTAGTTAAACCCACTTAAAATCTGGCATGAAAAAGGAGATTCTTAGCAATAGCTGCAGAATGAGTTAGTGGATTCCCACCCAACATTTACATAACCTGCTTTATGTGTTTGGCTGCATCCTTATCTATGAAAAGCAAAACATCCTCATGTGAATTAATTAGTGCATTATCAATGAAGAGTAAAGACAATTATAACCAAAAAAAGAGAGTAAAGACTACACGAACAACACTTTGAAATATTAAATCAGTTGAAGAAAGAATCCGTCTTTAACCCACAAGTACCCGAAAAGGATAACACGCAAACCCAACAATTTAACACATACAATCACAAAAACTATATTGCAAGCTTCACAAAAAATATTAAAGTTACCCTGAAAAATATTGAAGATCTTTGGTATACTAATGAATCATGAAAAAAGTTTAATAAAAAATAATTCTATTCGATCATAAAACTTTAAAAACAAAATTAATAATGATAATACAATATCAAAAGCCTTACATTATCACGCTAACTTAACAGAGGATTTCTTGTATGCTACCATCAAACTGGTAACTCGTCCACTATAGTATCTAGGAACGGATATTTTCTTTCTCCGTCTTAATTGCATCTTACAAAATCCCTCATTTTCCAAACACTCGTATATTTCTCACTCAATTTGCTTAATTTGGGGCTTACAAGAGGAACGGAAATTTAATAACATCTATAATAACATCAAAGAATATAGGAATGTATAAAGTTTACAGATAACGGAGCTCTATTTACATGCAAATAGAATACATCCGCACACTTTGCTGCTCTTGTAATTTTGTCTCCACAGAAGAATGAAAAAAACCAAGGCGTGAAGTAAAAATATTAGGCGACAAATAAAATGAATATCATGAGGAAAAATATCAGAATGGCAAATATCTTTATTAGAAGCCACCTATTTGATGATATTCGGTTGAGATTCCTCAATAAAGAATTGTGAGCTCCTTCAACATTTGCCAATGACTCATCCATGTTGTCATCAATCCTGTCCATGCAAGTTAGGCAGATTTAATGCTAATTGCTAAAACACACGAACGTTTACAGCTTCGCATACAGTAATATTGTAATTTAACTTTTTAATACGAGCCAAAACCATAAATGGAGGGAAAAGTCAGGGCAGTGTAGTAACCTAGGTGTCAAATATTTAAGTTAAAGGAGGAAACCTGATAGCAAGCTCCCCTTGATGGGCAACCATTGTAGCCAAATGCGAGAAAATCCCACTAAGTTCTGTGATAGTAGATTCCACATTGTGCAGAGCAGTTGACCTACTCTGATTATAGTTTTCTTGCCGAGGAACAACCTGCTGTAGCATAGACATTTCCATTTGCTGAGATGGAGTGTTGTCCACAGCCAACCTTCGTCTGCTCCAGCAAAACAAATGTTGTAACTTAAGTTAGAAATTATGTAATTCCTATGCATGACTAAAATATTTAAGCTATCATAGGAAAGCAACACATCTGAAGAATCACAGGGTAAAAATTTATCAAAGAATTACTCTTTCCCTTCCTTCTTGTCTGTCTTTCAGGATTTTTATGTAGAAACCAAGAATGTAATACATATTCTTGATCCTATAAAAATAACTATGCTGTTTTATATTTTACGCTTTTTCATTTATACTTCACAATAAATTAAAAATTAGGTAAAAAGTATGAATATAATTAACAAAAGAGTAATTATTGTTTTCTTGAATTTTGAAATTCAACATATAAATGGAAACAATTTTTTTTTTTCAAAAATACGAGAGATAAAGAAGAATGGAGGAAGTGAGAAGCTTGGTTAGGTGTTAAGAGAAGAAGAATTGAGATTGTAACAAGATCCAAATTGAATGACAACATTACATAATTGTCTTTTGTGGCGTTTTGGTAAAAATGCCCACTAAATTTATGCAAGCAAATTTTAAATGACAGACATGTAAACATCAAAGATGTTCAAAGATTTAAAAAGATGTATTCTACTTCACTACAAAAGATATAAGGGAAATAGGCAAGCAAATTACTCTTAAGCAATATAGCAAGTGGCAAGATGTCTGTCAAATTAAACTCTATCAATATAAGATGCAAAAACCTTGTATTAAGAACTGACAAATAAAACGAAAGACAACCTTAACATTTAGATATATGTTGTATTTAAGTGACTTCAACGGTAATCTTCGGATATAATCATCAATCAGATGAGTTGAGAATTCAAGAGACAGTGTATAGAAAATAACCATTATTAAGTTCATAATTTACTGTGAATACGTGAACATATAAGAAATTAACTAGTTAAATAACTTATGCCAAACAAGTTAATATTCTGGTCGCTCTATAAGTTTACTTCTTTTATACAACATAGACACGAACTGTAAAGCCCACCAAGAGAGAGAACGAAGTTCAATTAAATTTGGACCCAAAAAGTAAATCATGCCCAGTTTGACGAGCCTCCTCTGCTGGGGGAACCTAAATGGTTATCCCCTAAACCACAAATATTATCAGGTTAGCTGTGAAATTGTGTATCAAAGATACAAGCTGTTCTCTAGTGTATTTGGTTGTGCTTGTAGTCAAATGAGGGAAAGGTTAGAGAATGCCTCGAACCCAATACCCATCATCAAATAAATACATACTCAAAGGAATTCAACAGTAAACACAGTTGGAGATTTATGTACTATATTTTTAGATGAACCCATCGTTTAAGGCCATATTTTGATTTTTTTTAGATCTACGTGCAAAAAATCACGCTATGTTGAAATGTAAAAGAGGGAATTTGATCTTATAGCTTTAAAAGGAAATTAGACAAACCTTAGTTGATTGCTAACAGGAGCTCCATTTGATGGTAATCTGCATAAAATATATAGATATATATTATTTTTCAGTAATTCAGAGGATGCGAACTTCCTAACAATTAGGAAAGAAATGAAGTGTTTGATAGTGGGTAAATAAATATTGCTATAAAAATTTCTATTTCAGCTGAAATATGGAATTACAAACCATATCAAAATGTATGATATTAAACAATAAATGGTCAGACTGACAAAACTATGCACAACTTAGAATCTACCAGCATCCAAAATATGACAAGAGTATTCAATAGTAAGAAACTTTTGGATACACCGACAGCTAACTCCCAACTATTTACAGAAGCATTAACAGGTAGTTCCCACAGGAGCCAGGTTTTTCAATTTGAATGTTAGGCCAATTTTCCTAATTTTATTTTACGTTATGGAATTTGGGGAGGACTATTGCGTCATGGCCTAATGATAATGTTAAATTCTAACATGTTAGGAAAAGCAAAATTACTCACGTCAATTCTTGTTGCAAATTCTCAGATGCATTCAACAAATTTGACCAAGGTGGCGGCTCAGTAGCTGGCTTTGGTTGATGCTGGAAAGGGTTCTCTCTTGATGCATGCTTGGAAAATATCTGCTTCCTGCTCTCGTGAGCCTTGATATTCTGGTGCATACATACATACACATGCACGATATTAATTACATGGGAATGAAAAATATAGTACATCATATGATAAGATAAGAAGCCCAGATACATGACACAAATAGGGCAGCAGTGTAAATGACAAAATAAGGTTATATAGAATTTTGCTTCATGTATTTTTAAATTGATGAATATAGTCATTTATATAATTGCCTATACTTTCACAGAAGAACCATTAGTCAAAATAGTTTTGGATCTATATAATTGCCTATAATTTACTATCTGACACTACCTACGTCATTATGCTCTATCTCTCCATCATCGAGAAACAACATAGCTTCCAACTCTGGTTCATCAAGACACAACTTTGCTAATTCAAATCCAGCATCATCAAGTGGACCATTTGCATATCCATTAATGTTCCAAAACCTTGTCTCTCCTCTACTATATCCTTCATCTTTCCTAGACAAAAGCCGAAGAATAGTAGTATACCAGTTTCCACATAAACCAAATCCTATGGCCTTTACAAATTCATTTTGTTTCTCTTCAAACAATAAATAAAAGAATAGGTACTCCAATTTGTCTTGTAGCATGAAGAACTAGGCTGCACAAAAGTTTTACTGGAAGGTATGGAAATGAAGCCATATCCTGAGTTATTCAGCTATATGGCTTAATCTCTTATTTTCTTTCAAAAATAAAATAATAATAATAATAATAATGAATACTCACTGTATCCATATCAAAATGTATCATACATGTATTGGACACTATTACTTTTACATTTTTGGAATAGCTAGAGTTCATAGATGATAAGCAAAAAAATAAAAATACGAGATTGAGGAAAAATATAACTTTGCAGGTTTGTTATGTTGCTCCAGTCTTGATACTTTTTGTTCTAGATAAATCATTGATCCATCGAGAGCCCAACGAATCCATGAACCACTGCCCAATACAGGATGAAACTAGCCTTGGCTCAACCAAGGACCAGCCGACTTAAGAACTTGAAATGTGATGCTTGGATGTCAGTAACCACAGCAGCCTTGCTGATATCAGTCACTGTCAAGTGCCACCCGTCCTGTGGTGCAAATTTGCTTTACATTCATACAAGGCAAGAAATGCCCCTTTGAGAGGCTAATGCTACCAAGGTTAGGCATCTTACACCCTGGCTCTTATAAGAGAACCACATTTCTTGCCGCTATTTCAATAATTGCCATCATACTGTTAGAAATGAGCAACCTGGAGTGACTGTCAGAACAAGTACGGAGATTACAAGCATAGTTGGTGGATAACGTCAACTGACCCGCCTCATTTAACCTATGTCCCCATGCTTATATATAGCTGAAGTGCAGACCACGGTTTGGGTGCGACTTCTGCCTATACTTTGTCGAACACCTACTAATTTGAGTGCTGGACTACCCAGGTAGCAACTGCCGCTGCGGCAAAAACATAAAACGGCGTTTCATACTGACTACGAATGAAATGAAACTCAGAGTTGCCAACTTGGCGTACACTATCAGATCCTTCCTCAACCTTGTTCAACCTAACATTGTCCAACCCCAAAAGGACTAAACTATCTTTTTACTTCCCTAACTACACTAATTTTTTCTATACAGTCATACTATTCATTTAAGAGACTGACAGTGGCATCATATCATACCATATTCTTCTAAACACAAGAAACTGTTTATGTAAAACTGGTTTTTCAGTTACTTAAACATTGAATCATGCATTAATAAATAAACAACAAGAAGCGTCATTGATTAAACAACCTCTGTCCTAGCAGTTAAGACATCTTGAAGATGCTTCGTGGCTCCCATGAGTTTGCTCTTCAAGTCATCACAAACCGCGGTTGAATGCACAATCCTATCCTGCGAGTAACTTCCTTCAGCCATGTCCATGTTCTGAATGGTTTGCAAATCGGAGAGAGCCGAATTCAGCGCCGTGATCTCGTTCTTAATCAGCACGGTGAGCTCCTGAATCTCCACAGCCGGATCGTTGAACATGGACGATTTCCTCGCCAGCTGCGCTAGCTTCGCCACCTTCTGCGAGGTTTCGTGGATCCCTAACCCAATTCGTGAGGCCTTTCGGTTGAATTCGGATCTTGAATAGGAATCGTGAGAAATGGAAGGAGCATTCTCGGGTTGAACCAAAGACGATGCCCCTCCTCCGATCTTCTTCAGAGTCTCCGACAGTAACCGGAACTCCGACGTGCGGTCACGGTAAGAGTAAGCCATCGGAGACACGTCCGTTCGTTCCAATTCCACGATCTCGAGAAGGATGCCATTTCAGTGAACACCTCAACTAACTGGGCCCCACTACCATGCAACACTTCATTTGGACCTAGACCATTGGGCTAATATTTCACACCGAGGCCCAATCTGTGACTCATTTCAGATCTCCTTTTCTTTACAGCGCGCCGCACCACAGCCTCCTCAACGTGGCCGACCACCGTTCTTCTTCTTCATCCTCCTCAGGTACATCCTGCCCAACTAGTTTTTTTCCTCTTCTTTGATTTTTAGTGCTCGTCTCTTCTAATATGCTCTCTATGATTTTGCTCACTTTCATTATCCTTGGTTTTAAAGCGTTTTCGTAGTAGCGCGACAATTTGGCTTAGAACAACGAGTTTAGATTTGGGCTGTGTACTTCTGAAAATTTATTGGTACATTATGTGTCGGTGAAATTTACTTGTAATTTATTCTTGTGCTGCTGTGTGAATTTTACTTATGCACTCTGGTTCTTTCTAGTCACAACAGATTTAAGGTCAAATTGAATAAATTTCTCTAGGAAAAGAAGAAAATAATAATAATTACAAAATAATTTTTCTTTTAGAAACTAAAATTAACTCATGCTTATATTAAAAAGTAGTCTTTGGAAAAGTTGATGAAAGAAATTTTACAAAATAGATTATTTTATTTTCCTTTACATTAGTTTATCGAGACAGCATACCTATTTTGAATTGGATGAATGCGGGATACCAAGTCTACCTTGTTGGCCACTTCTTAAATTTGCCTTATGTATTTTTCTCATACTCTCTTAAATCATATTGATGGAAGCTTTTCAGCCGCTCAGTCTCTTAAATTTACTTGATGTGTTTGGCATTGCATTAGTGCAACTGTATTATTTTCTACCTTATGGAAGATAATGCCTGTTGTCATTTAATTTGTGATTTTATTGCATAATTGTTCTTCTTGTTATGAGTATAAATTGGCTCACTGTTCTAAACTTCAAACATTCACTGCAAGTGAGTGTAAGGAAAAAATAGATGTCACTTCACTGCAATTGATTTGTGAGAAATGGACATTGGTTATAATGAGTGACAAAAAAAAATACATGGCTTCACTTCTAGCACTTTATTGAAATGACACCTTGCAGAGAACTATCGTCATTTTTATTATGTGTGTTTGGTTCTATTTTTTCTTCCCCCAAAGTCTAAGAATTTTTCTTTATTATTTTTCTTATGAGAAAAATATGTTTTTAGTTCCTATACTTTTTAGTTAATATATTCAAATTGATGAATTTTGTCCTCCATTTATTTTTTTCAAAATTTCTCTCTTTGTTTTTTTTCCTTTTAATACTGGGAGACAACTCATTTAACTTGAACTGATGGTGGGTTGAGTTGAGCTGCCGCAATTTTGGTTCCTTACTAAAGAAACCCAACCATATGAATGGAGTTTTTTGACAACTTGTAGTCAGCCAACCCACATTTGATAGCTATAGTGATCAGCAGCAATGGCGGGAAAATTGGCAAAAGCAGCTTATGATGCAAAGATGTCGAAGCTTCTGAGAGAGTACAGTCAAGTACTGGTGATTTCTTCGGACAATGTGGGTTCCAACCAGTTTCAGGGCATAAGGAGGGGACTCCATGCCGATTCAGTGGTGGTGATGGGAAAGAACTCCATGATGAAACGTTCTATCATCTTGGATGCTGAGAAGACAGGCAACAAGTCCTTCCTTAACCTTGTCCCCCTTCTTGTGGTAAATCTGCTACCTCGTTTTGGAGTCTCTTGTACCAGACAATAAATTTGACAATAATAATAATAATATTAAAGAAGGTACAATTTCATTGAATTATGAAGACTGTTTTAATGTTTTAAGTTTGTTTCTTGACACAGGGAAATGTGGCATTAATTTTCACCAAAGGTGACTTGAGAGAGGTTAGCGAACAGATTGCCAAGCACAAGGTCAAGTAAAATGTTCTGTCTATCTTATGTTCAATAGCACTCGAAACTACTACTATTTAATCTTGAGGTTGCTATGGGTGAAAATTGAAAAGGGATGCTAGTAGTAGTAGTTTGATCCTTCTTTTGCAATCTTTCCATAATATCCCTGTTTAAGTAATGACAAAATATTACTCCACAACTGATAGTTAAGCTTATTCAAACAAATCATACATACACACAAAAGTTTGTAACTAAATACACATCTCCTTGGAGTTACCTTTTAGTGTTAACTTGCACTGCAGTTCTTGCAGGACAATGATGTGTGAGGAAGCAAAAATTGAGATCCCTATACCCTAGTATGGCACACATGCGATTCTTTTTTCCCATTCATCTGAAATTATTTTCTGGCTTTTGACCTAAGTTGATTGTCTAAGTTATATTATCTATCACGATTTGGGTGATTTGCTTAGGAGTCAAGTTAGTAGAGAAGCCATGTTATTATAGCTTAGTTTTGCATCTTGCTAAGTTCACACGATACAATTCTGCTAATAGGTTCACAAGAAAAAGTCTTTCACACAATGCTTCAGTAAGAGTGCCTTTGTAAAACCGTTCTCCATTGAATGTGAACCCATCAATTTCTCGGAATGTTGGAAATAGAGTGTGAAACGACTAAACAAAAGCGTTGATCTTATGTCATGATTTGGTGATTCTACAGTTTAAACTTGGCTACATCATTTGCTAACCACTTCTATTGTTTTCAAATTGGATGAGTTTGCTTCAAGTTGCAGTAATTATAAACTTTTTACTAATGTTAATTATGCCCAAAATTTTGATGTGAGTATGCCATGGCCAATCAGGACTAAAATTATGGTAAATACTCGTTTATTTTGTACTTATTAACATGATGGAGATTGCATGAATTTTCTCCATTTTAATGCCTTTTGACTTTGATCACATAAATATTAATCATTTCCACATTGGAAAGCTTTGCTTCTTTATCAAGGAACATATTAGAGTGTTGCTCTCTTGTCAAAAGCCTTATGTTTATTTGTGCAGGTTGTTCAACCTATTCTAATGTGCCCCAAGTATACGTCATATGACACATATCACAATTGTTCCTATATGCAATCCGGACAGATACCTTTGGGTCTCACGTGTTGTAATCCGCAGTCTTCGCAGGTTTCTGAGCCTTTTCTTGTATGCTCAAAATTCATGCCACACCAACATTGTTTCTTGATGAGATCAAGACAGTTCTTGATGACGAGTATATGGTCTCCTCTTCTTCTTTTGGCTGGCAACTTGTAATATGGATGAAGTATTTTGATTCAGATTGCATGGTTTATATTACTCATTTCTTTGTACGTAGTTGGCTTTCAAACTATATATATAGTTGTATTCTCCCATTTCAGGGATGATGGAAAATGAAAATGATTTTGACCAGGGTTTCAATTTGATAAATTGAAGTTTCTGTACAAGGATTTTTTGTTTATCCAGGAATTTTATCCTCTTCTACAATAAGAATATGACAACCTATTTGTTGAGTATGCCATTATTATCAGCATTATTTCAACTTTGAAGCCAAAGATGAGTTATATATATATATATATATATATATATATATATATATATATATATATATATATATATATATATATATATATATATATAAATGAACTGCGGATGTGCAACAAACGCCGAGATAGAATATCTAGAGATTCTTAGGAAAAATATATTATTTTAATATAAGTTACATATTTTTAAAATAAATTAAAATTGTTTATATAAATTTTTTTGACATACCAAACATTTGGTATCGGAGCGAGGACGCGTGTTGTATTCCTGCCGAGGATGAAATTGGGGCGGCATGTGGTAAGTCCCTTTGAGATTCCCGAAGAGCGGGAGAATCAACGTCGCAGAATCGTGGTGGGTCGGGGGTTTAAGTATCGAAGTGTGAACTCTTACTAAGAGCTATAGCTTTTGGTTAAGCGGTAAACTCTTGCATATCAAACTCTTGGTATCAGAGCCGGTGCACGCGTTCGATTCCTGTCGAGGACGGATTAGGAGGCAAAGGTGGTAAGTCCTCAGGAAAATCTCGAAGAGCGAGGGAATTTGAACGGTGTATATGGGGAGGGTCCTAGGGGTTAAGTATAAGAGTGATTGTCCTAACTACTAATTATAGTTTTTGGTTAAGCGCTTAGCGGTAAGCGCTTGCATAACTCTTTGACATGATTTATATAATCTAAAATTTATATAAAATAATATATTTTATTTTAAAAAATTTCTTTGAACAACTTCTAATAGATATGAGGTTAGATCATTCTAAATTTTGATTATCAAGATATACTTTATCTTGTTAGACGATAATTATACTCAAAAAGTGATTATATTAAGACCCATCACTTAGCTAGAGAACATTCTTTTGTTTTTGTTATTTATTTATTGTCAAAGATTAAAATATATTATCAGAATTAATTGAACAAGTATTTATTATTAAAAAGTATATGATTATCAAAAAGGAATTCAAGAAAAAATCTTATAAAAATTATATATATGTAAGATTTACCTAAATGAAAAATGAAAACTCTTAAAAAAAACTAATAATTAAAGTATGGCAACAAAATGGAGGTGTTCAAATTGTTAGAAACTTATCAGTAATATCTTTTACCGTTATTTTTAAGAGTATAGATTATTAGGACTCATTATTATTGGGTATGGAAATTTTCTCAAGTACCAAATGTTCTCTTACATAAAAGGTGAATATAAATGACAAAAAATTGATTGAATCAAAAGTTCTATGAAGAAATAAATTAATAATATATGTGGTGAATTTTATATTTAGAACAAAACAAATCTCATTTACCTTTAACAAAAATACAAAACATTCAATTATTTTATTTTAAGTCAATGACATAAATATAAAATCAATTTAATTAATATTATCACTTATAATATTATAGGTTGATATCTTTTAAAATCATATTTGATGAAAATACGAGTTTAAAGTTGAAAAGATTTAATCAAAATTTAATCCAATTTAATAAAATAATATTTTTATAATATAATAAATAATAAGTTAATTAATAATAATATTTTAAAATAATAATAATAATAATAATAATTAACCTCATTACCGTAAATTATAATTAAAATTATAAATATAAAATATATTAGAAAATGAAAAATAAATAATTTTTAAAATAAAATAAAAATACAATAAACTAACAATTATTTAAATTTGATGTAAAATTAAAAAAATTAAAATATATTATATAAATAAATTATTTTAAAAAATTAATCCTAAATATTTTTTTCCCAATTTGACTCAAAATTCAACTAATTGAATGATAAGTTGAATCAGATTTTCAAAATATTGCTTGGAATACATAAAGGTACCAATTTTGATATCTGCTTTTAATATACACATTTTACATAATGTTGTCTTTATTGTGTTTAATAACTACTTTTATGATCCAATAACCGCTTTTTATTACTTACCAAGCATGGACACGTCGGTGTTGTTTGTTGTGACTAACTTCGTATAATAATCTATAAGCTTTGTAGCATATTTTAAGATTTTAAAAAATAATGAAAATAAAGATCAAATAAAAAAAATGTTCATAAAATATGGTGTGTTAATAGAGTTTGGGTATGTTGGAGCCCAAATTCTAAGTATTGATAGTGAGCCGAATAGGTCCATATAGGAAAAATGAGCTAAATCATTACCTAATGGGCTCGAGCCTACCGAGGTGATTAGAATTAGGCGATATCGGGGCCGATAATAGGGGAAACAATAAAAACAAACTACATAGTTAAAGGAGAAAAAAAAAAGATAAAAAGGGTGTATGTTAAGAAAAAGGAATCATCTCACTTTTATTCCAGAACATTGGCGCCCACCGTGGGGCAGGTAAAACTATTCCTACTCCAGAAAAAATAAAGAGCACGACCATGGTGACTCGTACCAGTAATCGGAACAATCAAGACCCTAATGAGGTTGACTCAAACAACTCGGCAATGCAACTAATTCTTGAACAAATGGAAGAATTGCGCTGACAGACTGAAGAAGCACAACGTATGGCAACAGAAGCATCTTAGGTGCAGGATGAATTACGACGACAGAATGAGGAGTTGCAAGCAGCCATCGGGCAACAGGTCTGATCTACCTCGAGTGACAATGAAGAAGAAATAGTGGAGAAAGATTTCCAGCCTTTCGTTCAGGCCATCATAGACGAGTCTTTGCCTTCACATTACATTACTCCTAAAATTGATCGATTTACGGGAATACAAGACCCGTTAGCACATCTGAAGGCCTAAATGATCATCAGCGGCGGGTCTGACGACGTAAAGTTTTTGTTGGTACCTTATGCGGAACTGCATTGGATTGGTTCAGTGGTCTCCCTGAACAGTCAATAGCTAGTTCCAATGACTTGGCAAAAGTTTTTGTGGCTCATTTTGTTGCTAATAACACAAAGAGCTCCCAAGAGGAGTGATTTGTTTGATATGCGGCAAGGACGAAACGAATCCTTAAGGGAGTTCCTGCACCGATTTGGTAACATGACTGTTAGGATCTTACCTCCCAATGAAACCATGTTTGTAGATGCTTTTATGAAAGGGTTAAGGTCGGGCCCTTTCATGGAATCTTTATATAGGCATCCATGCAAGACAATGAAACAAGTTCGGGCCCGAGCTACATCTCATATTGAAGTCGAACAAACAATTTGTCGACGCCATGCGGCCGAACAATTGGAGTTGCAGCAAGATAATGCAGTAAAACCCTCTCGGTCCCGAAATGTGCAAGGGTCGCATAGCCAAAGGAGTTACCACCCTTATGACAAACGCATAATTCCTAATCCACAAAGCACGAAGCATAATACCAGACAATACCAACAACCTAACCCACATGACGTGTTAAAGAAAGAATTCTTGCAAGAAGCAATCGCAACTAAACTCCTTGATTTCCCACGAGTTACCCATAAACAGCTAGGTCCCAAATAGTATGCGTGGTGTGAGTTTCATCGAGCTCGAGGACACGACACAGAAGAATGTCAAACGCTAAAATATCAAGTAGATCGATTAATTAAAGAGGGCAAGTTATCAATGTCCAGGATAAATCGACCATCCAACCCATCTCACCAGCCAGGAACATCCTTCAATAAGAGGGGAAAAGAATCATCTTGTCAAGAGGGTGAACATGAAAGAGTTGTACTCGGGGATTTTAATACCATAGCCGGGGGGTTTGCAGGAGGAGGACCCACCTCTTCTTCCAGAAAGAGATATGCTCGACAAGTCTTTACAACGACAACAGTATCTCGATCCCCACCTACTCCAGCTATTACTTTCACTGATGAAGATTTCTTAGACGTCATTCCCCACGAAGATAACCATATTGTCATCTCCCTAATCATGAGAGGATGAAATGTTCACAGAATTCTGGTAGATCAAGGTAGTTCAGCGGATGTTTTATATTGGGACACTTTTGTAGGACTTTAAATTCCCTCGGACCTCCTACGACCATTTTCAGGAGTCCTGGTGGGATTCACGGGAGAACAAGTGGAAGTTAGGAGATATGTGGAGTTACGTGTTACATTTGAGGAAGAGAGATATTAAAAAACGATTATGATAAAATTCCTAGTCGTTAATGCAGTATCATCTTATAACATGTTGCTAGGAAGACCTTCGTTGAACAAGTTGGGAGCCGTTGTATCAACTAAACATATGAAACTTAAATATCTCCTTGTCGATGGTAAAGTAGGAATTGTAAGGGTTAATCAAAAGACTGCCCGAAAGTGTTATGAAGGAAGTCTTCGCTAAAGGAGGATGTTTTCGTCGGCTCCGAATAACTCAGAAGTTCACATGCTGGATTTGGACCCACGTGCATTCGAGGATCGTCGACCTCAGCCGGCGGAAGATTTGAAAAAGATCTTAATTGATGATAACAAGTATATACAGATCGGTACCAACATGGACGAAGAGGTGGAAGCACAAGTTGTGAGAGTTCTGAGAAAAAACAAGACAACATTTGCCGGGAATCAATTCCTCACTGGTATACGTTAGATATGCCGGGAATCGACCCCGATTTCTTGTGTCATCGTTTAGATCTGGACCCCAAGGCTAGACCAGCGATCTAAAGGCGACGTAAGATGGGGGCTGAAAAGCACACGGCTGTAACTAAAGAAATTACCAAACTATTGGCTGCGGAACATATTCGGGAAGTACAATACCCAGAGTGGCTACCTAACGTGGTCATGGTTTGGAAACCGTCAGGAAAGTGGCGTATGTGTACTGATTTTACTGATCTTAATAAAGCA